TTCACCAAGTTAAATAAGGTGACAGAGGCTCGAGTTTGGTTGTCTTTCCAGCGAGAGGTTTCTCCCTCTGGAAAAATGAAAATAAAGTAGGTGGTTGTCGAGCTAGTATCCACAGTGCCCGCGAAGGACTTACAATGTTCGGTTTTCTTAGGGTCCTGAGATCTGGGCTAGGATGAGAGGGGTTTTCCTTGGATGCTGGGGGTCGGCTGCTCGGCATTGGGATTTGTTAGGTCGATGACCGACTGGGACTATTGCAGCGGTTGAGAGGGATCCTCTGCACGTTTGGGTGTGGCAAGTGCCGAGCTAAAAATGCCTTCTGTAGAAAGCCAGAGTGACATAAATAAGGTTAGTATGATTATAATAAGAACACAAAGGAGAGAAAGGATTAAAGAAAGTTAGTTTATGTCTGCAATACCCACCTACGTTGGACATGGTTTCTGCTGAGAGATTGGAATGTTTAAAATGACAAAGTAGCCAGGTATCGGATTTAAGTTTTACAATATGTAGAGGATGGCGGTTCCACTCCTAGATAAGGGTGTCAAATGCGGCATTTGGTCGGGGATTGTTTCGCTGTCCGGCAGCTCGTGGATCCACTCTGGATGAAATCAAAGGTATCAAAGTGAGGACGGATAAAGTAAAACTTACTTTTCCAATTGTTCACTTGTTTATATACCACTTTTATTACTACTCATTAATTATACAGTTTAAATGCTAGCCTTTCAGGGAAATTGGATTTTTATTTTAGTTTGTTCATACATTTTTCGACACAACCATAACCCTAAAAAGTTACAAATTTATTACACAGAAGGAGACCGGCGCTCAGGCATTTTTCCTTTGGTACGGATGCCCAAGATATTGTGAGTGTTACGAGGTTTTTATCCAGTGTAACGCATCGTAACGCTGCAGCGATCGGCTTGGAGGGCAGGCGTAGTGCTTCAATTGACAACCCGATCTAGGGGGAAGACATAAATCATCCGCCGCCACCAAAAGTGGAAGTCATCGATCTTCACCCTTATAATCCACCAGAATAAATTGTAAAAACCACATGTAACCAATTTACGTTGGTTCTATGGGAATTGGAAAGGTCACAGTCCATGCATTCTCCCAGTCATTGCCACCTAAAAATTAATTTGGCTAAAAAAATGACGTGAAAATATCAATCATGGCCCGTAGGAAAATTATATGGATCGCTTCATTATTGGACTAAATATGATGAATTTTTCATATTATTGTACCAAGTTTGATGTCTGCCAAAATGTTGGATCTTTTCTAGAAAATGGTCAATATGATGGACCAAAATTAATTTTTTTTTCCTGGATAGGCATTCCAGTCATCGCCACCTATAAATTAATTGGCTTGAAAAGTGATGTATAAAATACTAATCATGATACGTAGGCAAATTATCTGGACCGTCTGATTATTGGTAATTGGACTGAATATGATGAATATTTCAACTTATTGTACTACATTTGATGTCTACCAAAAATTATTGGATCTTTCCTAGAAAAAAGGCCAATATAATAGATCAAAAATGAAATTTTGCCGCGAGGAGCCCTAGCAGATCAATTTATCGATTTTATACATAAAAACGTGAGTTTTGTCTCTCCTTGTTCCCTTCGTACACGCTTGTTGCGTCATTTACTCTAGTCTAAGTCGTACAATCTTGTCCCTCTAAATTAAATTAATCTAATCTTATTTAAGCAAAAAAATCTATCAAACACAATTAAGTTGGATTAAAATCAAAGTTGTTAAATTATAAATGTTGTAACCAACAGGGGTTGGCTCAAGTGGTAAGCAGCTTGATGTCGCTTAAGCAAGGTCTCGGGTTCGTGTCCTTGTGGATGCCACTACAAAAAAAACACTACAAGTCCAACGAAAAATTTCGACGGCAAAAATTTCCGTTGGAAATTCCAATGAATATTCCAACAAATTTAATTTTATGTTGGAATAAGTGTTGGATAGTTGAGTAATTCCAACGGAATTTTTCCGTTGGAATAGTTGTAGGAATTTATTTCCATAGGATTTTTTGTTGGATATTTGCTATTCAAACGGCCATTTTTCCAACGAATTTTATACGTAGGAATATCCGTTGGAATAGCTATTCGAACGGAAATATAAAAAATACCAACGGAAAATTTCTGTTGGAATGTAAGAGTTTTTTTGTAGTGTGCAGAGAACCCTTGTTGGGAGATTCACCCACCATTGTCAGGTGTATGTCTCGGGTCGACCAAGGAATTAGTCGGTGCATAGCTCCAGATACCGTGACTCGCTAAAAAAAATATAATATTGTAAAAGAATTATTCTTATTGAATTGCTAATCTTTTTGCCTCAATCGTCTCATTATCAAAGGGCCCCAATATATAGCTGACAAACATTGTTATCTTTATTTCCGAAAAATTGTTGTCATCTTCTAAATCTCAATCACAACTACAAGCACTTTATTATCCTTAATAATAACTAGTAATTATCTCACTTTAGTTGTGAAGACAACATCTGGACACGTGACTAAGTACGACTCAAAATTTTCAAATGTGTACTTACAGACTTACAGTAATCAAAAGTCAAAACTTGGACATTCTCTGGGGACTGGGAGCCGTATAATATTTTGCTACTATTATATGGATATATCTTATTCGTTAATTAATAATTATAATTTCAACAACAACCTCCCTTTGGGGCGTGTTTTACATGAATTAACTCAATCTAACACTCAACTCATATTTAAATTTTTTTTTTTTTTTTTGGTACAGAACTCATATTTAAAATTTAACTCAACTCTATTTTATTTTTATTTTTTTTGTCCAACAAATAACACACATAAATACAACACAAAGATCGATCAAAGCAGTAGAAGTTGGCAACCAAATGGCCAAAGTGAGAGGACGTCCCAAAGGGAGCCTAAATATCGGCAAAATTACAAAAATGATACACTAAGTTGGTCGTTGTCAACAAAAGAGACACTATGTTGTCACTGATGGAAAAGATACACTTAGTTGGTTTTTTGCACAAAAAAGATACATATTTACAAAAATGATACACTAAGTCAGGCATAAGCAATCCAAAGTAAGACATATGTGATACACTTAGTGCATCATTTTTGTAAATATGTATCTTTTACGCGCAAAAAGCCAACTAACTGTATCTTTTCCATGAGTGACAACATAATGTCTCTATTGTTGACAACGGCCAATTTAATGTATCCTTTTTGTAATTTTGCCCCTAAATATCACAACTCACCCACAAGAAACAAAGCAAATACAAACCTCCTAGACGAGAGAATAAAGCTCCCACAGATGGAGAACAAAATCCCCAAAGGGAGAACCAAAACCCAGCACTGCAATACAGAAAAACACCACAAAGAAAACACACAAAACAAGTACACCACAAATAAAAACACACATAATACTAGACTATACCAAAGTCTTCCTCCACGGCAGGCTTATAGCACCTCACCTTCACCACTCGGACCAGAGTCCGGGAGGGATACCCCACTAGAGAGGGTGCCGACACATACGACAATGAGAAGGACCCAAAAGTCATAAGACTCGTACCGGATCGTCAATACCACCCCCTCTCCACAGATAAACCACTCTCAGGCCAACATCATGAGCCCACGCTACTCTCAGCCCCAAAACAATCCAGCGAGCTCGCCACCACTTCCCCCGCCGGAGAACCCACTCTTTTCGCACCACGGAAAAAACAGGAAAGGGGAACCAAGACTAATGCCTACCGTAACCCCTCCACCGCTACACGGCAAAGACTCCGGCTGCCTAACCACCACCTGGACAAAACCCCCAAACCACCAGAAAACGCCATGGCCAATCGCCCAAGTAGAGACGCCACGACGTCCGAGAAGAGTGAAGGCGGCCCTGGGAGGGATCGCGATCCCGATGTCGGTCTAATTGCGAAGGTGTGACGCCTTCGCCAAAAGGAGGCGCCACTTGATCTGGATTATGGCGAAGGGTTTGGAAAGGGAGAAATTGATTAATGACGAAAAAAAAAAGCAACGGAAAAATCCAACTCTAATATCCTCAAAATTATTAATATTAATAAATAATATCAACGAATATTATTTTACAAATCACATTAGACATGGCCATTTGCCAGGCCGGGTCGAAACTCGGCACGGCCCGCCGGGTCGGCGGGTTAGCATATAGTGAACCGGGCCCGGCCCGCTGGTAAGTAAGGGCCGGTTCACTGAACCGGCCCTAACCCGCCGGGTCAAAAACCCGGCGGGTTGAGCCGGGTTCGGGCCGCCGGTTTTTTTGGATCGGCAGCTCAAAACACGCGAACCCGGCCCGAACCCGGACCGGCCCGCCGGTTTTTTTTGGATCGAAGGAGGCCCGGGACCGGCCCTCCACAAGGCCGGTTCCGGTTCGAAAACCGGATTTTCCGGGCCGGGTCCGGGCCGGGTTCGGTCCGGGTCAACTCGTGGCCATGTCTAAATCACATCAATTTTATTTCATTATTCATTCACTCACATGATTTAATTAATAATCACTCTATATCATTTCTCTCATACATTTGTATCAAATCAACTTTAATTATCCTAATTTAAATGCTATTTTAAAATAAAATCAAGTCTCTCAAAACAACTAATCATACAACATTTTTCAAAATTAACACTAATTAACAATTAAAAACTCGTTTTTAGCAAATATATATAATATTTGTGTACAAGTAAAATTCATGTTAACAACTGAACCATAAATAGTGTAAACTCGAACGGTAATTTAATCGTTTTGCAATCCAGGTCCTCCATCTTCTTCTTTTTATTTTTTTTCCAACGATAGAAGGTCCTCCATATTCTGAAAATTTAAAATCTGAATCGAGCGAGGAGAAAAAGAGACAAGAAAACAAAATGAAAAACTATATTAACATAATAAGGGACTTGTAATTTGTGATACAAATCGACCAGCCACGCAGATTTTTTAAATCGCGTTTTCTATTAACATAAAATTAAGGAAAAAAATGGTAAAAAAAAAAAGAAAGAAAAATAATCATCTGTTACGGACAAAAGGCCGGCACGGCGCCGGCTCATAGCAAAAAGGCGCGGCCGGGTGCTGCCATTTCTTCATAACGACGACCGGCTTCTCCGCTGCCGATGAGGGATCCTTATTGCAGGAGGGTTTGATCTCGACGGTCGAGTTGATGTCCGATGTGGGAGATTGAACCAACGGAGACAAAAGCGGGATGGCCACGTTCCACTCCGTCACGGGGCTGATCTGCAGAGATGCCGGAGCTCTCGTCTGCAGACGGCTCTGCTTGCGCCGAGCTGCCGGATTCCTATTGCCGACATCAGCCATGTCAATGGGGAATAGAATAGAATAATTTGGGTATAATTTTGTCAGAACTCTGTTGAGAAAGAGAGAGAGGATTGGTGATGAAGAGAGGAAATCGGGGAATTGGTATAAATAAGGGGGCACGTGGATTACACGCTTCGGACAAGAGTCTGATTTTAAGAATCGGAATTTTTCCCTTTTTCCTTTTTCAGTCAAAAGGTGGTTAAAAAAGTGTGTAATGTAATGTTTCTTTTTGACTCGGCTTGGATCCTAACCTGCGTTGAGCTGGCAATTTAAGAAAAAAAATAATTTTCTATCATTTATTTTTTTATTCGAAACGATAGATTTTATAGCTCCAAACACAAACGATTACAATTGATGGCTACGAGCCTACAGACAACCTAATGTGTCAAACGGGGCAAAACGAGTGCGGTCCCACACAAGTGAAGCGCACAGAAGAGGGTTAGCCCAAATGAAACCCAAGTGAGGTTCCATCCCAAAACCAATTGGTGATGGGAGGAGTAGCCCACTAGACTTATAAACTAGGCTCATTTACCCTATCAAATCAATGTGGGACAACTCACAAGTGATATTTCCAACACAATGTTGACAAGGAGGAACACTTCACATAAATGACTAGACAAAACAAGGAATATAGATAATGAATCCTTTACCACCGACAGTGACTGACCCACAGAGCCTGGTGACTCGAGCTTCATTCCCCGCTGCAACATAGAAGCTAACAAAAGCAACTGACCGCTAAACCCGAAGGACCTAGCCAGAGGCAACTAACAAAACCAGGGAAAACTAAACAGCAAGCATTATACAAACAACAAAGAAAAAGAAACAAAAGAAATTAAAACACTAGATCAAGGAACTGTAGACAACCTCCCAGCTTCACAGAACAACAACCAGTCTGCCACAGCTTTGTCTACTAAATTATGCTCAGATCTCCAAAGATTTTTGGAAGTCCACACATTCCTTCAACATCCACCAAAGAGTAAATGCAGTAAGCTGTAATCTATCCTCTGAAGTTATAGTCCACCAATTTTTTAATGAAGCCCCATGACTGTTCATATTATCCCAACTGACTGGTGTACGCTTCCAAATTTGTTGCGATTTAGGGCAATGAAACAATAGATGCTCTATAGTTTCAGGCTCCTCCCCACAAGATTTGCAAATGAAATATTTGATTTTACCTGGCTTTATCAACTCTTTATCCCAATTTCTACCTGAATCATCCATAAGCTCCTTGAAAATGGATCTAGAAAATGGGTGGTCAACTCCGGTCTTCTTTCCCGATTTCCTGGCGATTTCTGGCGACTCACTTCAAACCGACGACACCATTGAATTCTCCATGCCGAGGCATGCCTGTGATCAATTACTGTCGCTGGAGCCGGCAACTTCTCTCTAGTGTCATTCTTTCAGGCGAGTCGCAATTGTGGTGTTCGCAGAGCAGGCACTCTATTTGCATCTTTCACTTTACGTCTGGTCCGAGGAGGCCCAGGTTCGTACCTAGGGCTGCAAACGAGCCGAGCCGAGTCGAGCATTAGCCTTATCGAGCAGGATTAATTTTTTTTTTAGCTGCTCGAGCTCGAGCTCGATTTATGAGGCTCAAGCTCGAGCTCGAAAAAAATACAAAAGCTCGAGCTCGGCTCGAGCTCGACTCGAATTCAAAATGCTCGAGCTCGGCTCGAGTTCAGTTCGAATTTTTTTAAGCAATTTTGTAAAATAACCATTAAATACATATATATAATGGTATTTTAGTAATTTTATATATCTCGAGCCGCTCGCGAGCCGCTCGACAATGTATAATATGGGCTGGAGCTCGACTCGAGTTCGTGCTCGAGCTCGACTCGAGTTCGGTCAAACTCAAGGTCGAGCCGAGCTTTGACTCGAGCGCTCGCGAGCGGCTCGCGAGCTGCTTGACTCGTTTGCAGCCCTATTCGTACCTGCTGCAGCCCGTCTACAGTTCGAATAGGAGGCCCAGGTGTACTTCAAGCAGCACTAGGTCCAACTGCGTGGAGGCCCATAGCGCGGCCCAGTTAGGAGGATCTGCAGAAACACAACATATATCAACTACTGTGTAAAGACACAATCCTGAAACAAGTAAACCTGCAGAATTATTAGAAAATATTCATACTTAAGCCAAAGCATCATAGAGTTCAACATAACACACAAAGATAATCAAATGATCCAGCAAACATAGTAGCAAACAAAAGAGGTTCTTATACAGGCAAGACCTTACTACATCCCTCCATAAATCACTCAAAATAACCAGCAATGAAACAAAGATAACTCCTCAGTATAATGATCAATGGTATCATCAGTTGAATCTCCCTCTTAGTCATCTTCATCCATCATCCCCTTTTTCGAGTTTTGGGATGCCGAAGAGCCTTTCCCTGTGTTGCTACGCTTTTGAGCCTTCACCGCTTTAAGCACTTGCCAAAGATAAGTGAGCTAGGTAGTAGCCTTCTTGGCATGTTCATCCCATTCAAAAATTTGTTGTTGAATGAAGTCCTCCCAATGTTCAGGCACATCCGAAGGAGAAGGCTCCATCTTTGTTTTGGGAGTGGCTCGTGCGTTGATAGTTTGAGTACTTACAAGCAGCGGGTTAGCAACATCCTCAAGAGTATCAGCATAACAAGGGTTGACAGAGAAGTTAGCAGACTTCAAAAATGACTAAATCAAGCAGGGATATGGAAGAGTACGACGCGAATCAGGATTCTCAATAAAGGACTTAATGACCTCAAAAACAACCTCACCAAATTGACAAGTTGCCAATAAGAATCCAAAAGATCACTTTGCATTGAAGATCAGTGAGTTGATTCTTGTTGGCCGTTGGGGTCCAATTTCAAGCACCTATCATGTGCAGCAGATTAGCTTTGAGAGAGAGAGAGCACTTACGGGCAAGTTGGAACCAGACCATTGGGTCAAGTGATTATCGGTAAGAGTACGAGTGAGAGTGATCACGTCAATCCCAGGTTGTCCACTATCAAGTCCATCAGGTATCCCAACAAGAGAATTGATCAACTCAGCTGAAAAGTCAAAAATCCAATTACGCAAAACATTTTGTGATAGCAAAGAGAATTGGGTACAAATACAACAGGGGTTAAGTTGGCATAAAATTTGCAGACAGCTTGACCACAAAAGGGTTCAAAATCAGACACATACAAAGTAAGATTAACATAAGCAATAAGTTGCATGATACTAAAGTCCTAAAATTTTTCATCATCCGCAGTACGTTCACACATGAACTTGTAAGAGGAGAACATGGAAAAACAATTTTGGGCAGACTGAGTATAAAACCTAGTAGCAGAGGAATTGGTCAAGTCATACTCATCATCTTCAGGCTCCACTTCCGCCGGCACTTCTTTCATGGGTTCTTTGCTCTTGCGCCGACTGGATCGTCGCACGGCAGTTCGCGGCGGAGGAGCAGTCTGGTCTAAATGAAAGTCAATAGTAGCAGCTTCCTAAGTGGGAGTAGCAGTAATGTCCTCCTTGTCTCCCTCTTTGTTGAAAGATTTTGCAGCCGAAGTAGGAACAGCGGAGGACTCCCCCTGAGTTGTGCCTTGAGGAACTTCTTCGTTCACGAGAGGAGGAGAGACATGAGCACCCTCACTCTTGGGTGGAGACTGTTGTGTCTAGGTCGAAGAAGACGACGGGGTAAGATCCACTTGAGGAATCTCTGAGTTAGGGGTGAGTCAGCAGAGTGCACTGGAGAAACCCAGTAGCGTGGCCGCTTATGAGTAGACTTCACTTTGTTACGCTTGCGTCGCTTCTTAGAGTGATCGTCGTCCTCAGTCATTGAATTGAAACAGAGATGAGAGATTTTGAGATTTGGGTTTTAAGGGTTAGAGCGAGAGAGAGAGATAGAGAGAGAGAGAGAGAGAGAGAGGGAGAGAGAGAAGGGGGGAAGTAATGAGTAAGGTCTGGTTTCAGAAAAATAATGAGAGAAAAAGAATGGGGTTACGTGAGGTATTAGAAGAGGTTCTGACATAGGTAACTGCAAAAGGTAGTTTCCTCATCTCGAGGTGCAGAGAGAGGGTTGATGGGTTTATAAGGCAATAAATTCCCACCCAAATCAAAATTCAAACATATCCAACTTCCCAGAAAAATAACTCTCACCATATTTTGAAACTTAAGAGTAAGAATTCGGATTTTATTGCCAAGAATAATCCCACACGGAATATATTAAGACCTAAATAAATCAACATCAAGAAGGAAATTATATGCAATATACCTAAAGATGAAAATAAAATTAAAATCGCATGGAAGACACTAGAATCGATGAAATCTTTTTTCTTAATCAACTTAGGAAAATTGATGAAAAATAATCAAGAACCAACTTTGTGATTCAAACACACCAAGGAACATAACATAGGCGGATATAAATATATTAATATACAATGTAGTGCAAAACACAGCTTCAATATCGTAAGAACACATGCATTATTATTCAATATGTGTTTCACTTAGTAACAATCACTGCAATAGTGAAAGTCAACCCCATTACTTTGCACAATGATTCTAAGCAAGGATCACATGTTTTTTTAATGATTTATTTTTTTATTATTTCACTATGTTTATTCTCAAATGGCCATCTTATAACTTCAGGTAAAAACACCACATAATTAAGTACAGTGGTTGTCACTAGCTTACACCCTTCTCAACATTTTCTATCCCAGACGCTCTTTTCACAGTCGCTCCCTTTGGGAAACGAACCATGTGCTAGCTATCGCTCTAGATCATTTATGAGAAGGCAGCTCTTTTTGACAAAAACAAAAAAAAAAGAATAAATATGTTCCAAGGTATGCAATAACATGCAATCAATCCCAGACAGTCAATATCGCACTAGCTTTCAGTAGAGTCAGAACATCAATTACAATCTAGTGGCGAATCAATGCAAAATACAAAACATGCCTACTGCAATACACCCTATGTGCTTACACACAATGCAATAAATAGATATAATTACTATACAATTAAATACAATATAATGCAAAATCATGCAAGCAATCAGA